CATACTTATAAAGCAGAATAACTCAGCTCACAACTCAGTGGCTCAGAGGCAGAGCGGGTCGTCCACCAATCAGAAGGTTGCTGGTTCGATCCCTGGCTCATCACATGTCAAAGTGTCCTTGAGCAAGATACTGAACCCCAAATTGCTCTTGATGCTGTGCATTTGTGTATGAATGTAAGTGACCCCGTTAGTTTCTGTTTGTGATGGCCTTTGCCATCAGTGTATGAATGGGTGAATGTGGCATGTAACGTTAAAGCGATTTGAGTGGTCGGAAGACTAGAAAGGCAATATACAAGTACAGTCCATTTAACATAATTATTGCTGCAGTATTCTTACCGGTTTGCTGTGCTGCATCCACCAGCATGACTGTCTTGGTCCTACCATCAGGCCCCAAGGTGCATACCTCCTTCTGCACAGCTACACTCCTTGTTGGAGGCCGGCGGCCCCTTGGAGGCTGGCAGACACCCAACTGTTGCTGTAGGAGAAAGATAATGAGGCAGAGCAAGCTCACTCAAAAGTCTGACGATAAGGAGGGAAACTTTTTAGTAATACAAATAACATATGGCGTCAATGTGACAATATCACAATGAAGCTGTTGACCATCTGTACCTTTGGGATAACATTAGGTCGGACCATGCCTCTCCCCCTCTGACTGGCCATCCCATATGCTGGCCCCAGAGGCAGAGGTCTTTCACTGACGTCTGCTGAGACAGGGTTGACCACTCCAGCTTGCACAGGACCTGCATAGGTGCCAGGGAAGGGCTGGTAGAAGCCCATCACAGGTGGGCACGGAGCAGGCATAATCTGGTAGTAAGCATAGTCATTGGAGACAGGAGGCTGGGGGGACGACAAGATGGGGTAGGCCAGGTATGAACCACCAGGGCTAGGGTTAGGCTGCTGCCAGCGCAGCTCCCCTCCATTATACATAGGATGTTGCCTGTGAAGCAGTAGAGAAGTAACATGTTAAATTATTTCTGTTATTCTACTCAAAATCACTGATTCTTTTCAGCCGATACTTTTGAATGCTTTGAGCCATTCTGGATTAAAATTTTTTAATTATTTGTGTGTACTGTGCTTCAGTATATGAATCCATAAAAGGAAGGTTGTGCTGCAGCTTATATTGTCTTAATACTAAGATATTAGGCTGTAAAATGTTATTTTGATGTAGGTCAACCTTTTGTTAAGTGTGCATGTGCACCTGTTTTGGGTGGGAAAGAAAAAGATTAAAAATAAATATAAAATTCTATATTGGCAAAAAATCAATATTAGGAAACTCACATACTCAGTTGAAAGAAACTGACTGTGCCACCCTGAATTAATCACACAGCACTGTGTTAAGGGTTTTGGACTTTGTTTCCTTTATTTAAAACATTTCTCAGTTTGTATTTTCTCTAAACATGCAGTGATGTTAGGAAGACTGATTAAAATGTGTTACACAAAATAAGATTAAAGCGCCTTAGCACGAGTGGGGTTCAAGAGAGGGGTGATGCCCGGGTTAACATCTGTACTGCCACGGTGATGTGCATGACGGTTGGTTTGTCAGGGGGTGTGTACATGGTATGCAGAAATGTTGATAAGGATCCAGATGACATTTTCACAGCCAGCCTACTATAGCGAGCATTTCCTTGCATTCAAATATGGGGGAAGGAAACAAAGGAACGGATGTGTGCAGGATACAGCAGATCACTGGACAAAGAAAGAGCCACTGGAAACAGATTGTGGTTCTGTGGACTGTAACTCTGGGGAGGTTTCCATTCATAATTAAGCGGTCTAAAACTACAGAGCATCTAATGACTCTAACCCAGTATACTGTTTAAAGGAGCTGATTGTGATCGCACAACATTAGGGACATGCCGTTCTTTTCTTCTTATTATAGCAAACAGTACAGTAAATGAATTATTCTGAAAATAGAAAAGGTCCAGAAGAGAGTGGATTGTTCTTGAGTGGTTCAAAATGGGGACACCATTTTCCCACAATGCCACAGGGAATGGCAATATTTCTTTCAAAGTTAACAGCTTTGGTAAATCTATAATCAGCATGAACCAGAAACACTGGTGCCATTAGCTAAACGGGATTGGAGGACCTGCCTTTAGAGTTTCACTCATTCCCAATTCTCCCCCCCGCTGTGAGAGTAACAGTACCTGTTGGGTTGGTTCTCTTGGACGAAAGGGTAGCAGGTGATGAGGTAGCTGGGTATGGGAGTGGTTTCCACCCCACCACCCCCTCCTCCTCCTCCTCCTGCCTCGCCAGAAAGACTCATGCTGACTAAGGATCCTTCGAGACCTTTCTTCTGTGGGATGAACGGTTCCACTTCGGCTGAAAGCTTCACATCCTGCACAAAGACATATGGACAGCCATTACTGTCACACTGTGTACAACAGCAGCCAATTAATGACTACATGATGCACGAGTGAGAAAAAGATCTACGTCTAAGAGTAGAGACCTATTTCTCAAATTGCTGAAATTAAGTCACTCAAGTCAGTCATCACATTATCTGCTTGTCCTTCATCAAGCCCACTGATTGCCTTTTCTTTATCAATGGATCATATTATTTTTATTGTTATTGCCATCCCACACCTATAATATGGGATAGTTGTAGGGTGGAAGCAACAATCCATATCAACAAAGTCATGAAAACCCACCAACGTTCCACCATAATTAGACTTTATTATTTGGGTAGGTTTGTGTAGTTTGTTAAAATATCTCTGTAGGGATTAAAATATGTAAGGCTAAAGACACAACCTACCAACGTCAACTCTCAGAACATTGTAAAAACTTCTATTGTATGAGAAGATATATCCAGGAATTTAAAATTGTTAACTTGAGCACAAAGTGTCTGACAGAGAGACCGATATGCACCAGCAGACGGACTAACCTCTCATTTATTTTGTGATAATCAAAGTTGAGCAAAACATTTCCTCATAGTGTTCCATTTGGTTTACAGTCTTGAGTGCCTACAGCCATCAATAAAAAGGGTATCAGGCCTTACACAAGGAGATAAAACCTTTTTTTTTGATTAACGATGACATAACACACAACTGCCACAGTATCTAAGGAAAGTATGCAACAAAAAAGGGCTCCAGACAAGTTTGATGATACATTTCTCTTGTGAGTAACATTTCTGCAGCTGGATAAACAGAGGTGAAGAATATAAACAATTCTTGCTTCTTATTAATATGGTCTACAATGAAGTGAGTTTCTCTACCTCAAAGCCAAAAGGAGTTAGAGGGCGAGGGAACTATTTAATTTTATAATGACTATGATCTATATAAGCTATTGCTAAAAACAACACTCCAAATAGACAATAAACGAAAAATACTCCCAAGTATCACTTTTGCATTACACTTAAGGTAACATATAGGTTGGTGCACTCAGGCAAAAGGTCAATTTACTAATTTTAACTTACAACAAGATATACATACAATTCAAATTATATAAATTAACCAATGAAACAATTAGGTCAAAAGACTGGGACATATTTACAGCAGGCAAAGGCACACTATTGCACTCTTCTGACTCAGTCTGATTTTATGGGTCCCCAGATTTATGGCCCTGACACATAGTCAACAGTCAGGCTGTAGCAAATGATACAGCAGGCCACAGAAAGGCCAAAGATTATAGGTCTGGGGCACTGGACGGCAGTCATGGGGGTGAAACACTAAAGTTCTTCTGGGCTCACTCACCCACTCCAGAACATCGTTCTGTAGAAAACGGAGACACAACCAAATGGGTAGGATATGCTCGGTGATGACAGCAACTAACAGGCAGGCCTACGTATATCCTTAAATTAAAAGACAACAAAATTAAAATTGTGACTGATAAAACAACAACTGTCCCTCTTGTTCTGTCCTTCTTCGCTGTCTTTTTCCATTGCTGTCCGGGAGCATCTTTCACACCTCTGAGTGCTGCTCCTTTCACATCATGGTGGCACTGGCCTAACCCAAGGTGTCAGCTCCGTCCAACAGGTCCTATTTAAAATAATCTGCTATTTTGCAGAGGATGAGGAGAGGTGACAGGGTTCAGAGTACAAAGACGCCCCCTCACTTCTCTGAAACAGTGGTCGGGATGCATGAATAGAGCGTCAGTGCAGCCAGTGGATGTCACACAGACAGCTATTGTCTCCCACTGCTACTGTCTGCATGCGCTTCTCTCACTTTTCCTTAGGTAATCTATAGATCCCAACCTATAGAAACAGAGTCATGTTGAATGGAGCATGTTATGCCAATTCAGTAAAGACCAAGCTGATGAAGAAAGATTTTTACAAGCCCCACAGACCTCATACCGGCCTCCATGGCCAGACTGATATGGCTGCAGAGGTTGAGATCTAGAGTAGTTGGTCTGACCCTGTACGATGGTACAGTATAGCTGAGAGGGTGTTGTTATAGGATTAAGTTTCAGAGGGTGAATTAGGGACAGTACTACAGGATAAGCTAATTATAAAGCAAGCCATAGCATTGAGGCCTCATGTGTACTGACGGTGAATCTTGAATTCTTAACAGCAGTGTAGAAATCCAACTATATATATATATTTTTTTTTTAAAAAGGGTTGTGAAGGAAAAACAGAGCTGGTCAGCAGATCCATCTCTTGATTCAACCATGTGTGTCTTTGTGTGTCAGTGAGAGGGTGAGTGAGAATAGCTGTGATTGTGAAAAAGGCAATGAGGTCAGACCCAGATGTGCATTCATTGGCGATGACAGATCTCAGAGTGATTAGACCGGGGGCTACTGATCTCACAAGCCCCTGTTTGTGTAAGCATTTATCCTCACACCAGTTGCTCTCGAACACTATCCGACGGTATCCGTTTCTGTACTGAACGCAAGGTGGGCTCTGTGGTGTAGTGCAGGGTACACGCAGGTACATGAACACATCCAACTGTACATCTACATACATCTAAAACGCCTCCGATTCTTCAGTAGTTCAATACTCAAAATGAATACTTACGTAGTTGTCTCGCCCTATAGTCTGTGTGCCAGTATTGATTACTAAATCTGCACCTCTCCTGTAGCTGTTGCTCATTTTATGATGATTCTTACTTCCTGAAGTCGAACAGCAGAAGTTAAGAGACAATGTGAAAATACCACAGGCCCATTTTTGGCTGAACTAAATATGCAAGAGTGGTCTTACGTGTCACTGTTTTATCCTTCGCTTAAACATAAAACACAGGGCATAAATAAGCATGTATAAGTATGAGTATACCCTCACTGCCTCACTACACCACTGGGTGGGCTGTGTAGTTAAACATGGCCATATTAAACCTAAATTAAGGAGAAAAGGGGGGCAGAACTGAGGAGTATCACCACACTAGATTACACATTCAGAAGCAGCTAAGGCAGGAAATCTGACACACTTGGCCAGAGGACCCCCGGATTAACCTGGGGGGCACTGGCAGTACGCTTTAGGACACCAACCCCAACCAAACTTAACTTTCTGCATTGCAGAAAGCGTCAGGAATGCCATACATGCAGAAGAACCAGACATTCCTCTGTTGACTATCCACGAAACCTCTCCGCCTCTCCCGACGACAACAACACTCATGCACACATTCCTAACTTACCTGACTGACGCCTTTTAAATCAACCCTACGTCTCCACGTTATGACTAAGCGATACACTTAAAGAAAAAAAACAAACATAAGCTGTAATCTGTCGCTCTGCTCGAAACGAGAAGCGTCGTCAGATGACAGCTGAGGTATTTAGCTGCAGCGACGTAGCCACGCTAACACTTCAACACACAAAGCCTTTACAAAAAGCCCACCGCGAAGGAAACGTTGTCATGGAAGTAAACTAACGTGGTTTTGTGAAATGATCGAAAACGCACACACACGCTGCAAGAGACAACAACAACACACCATCCCGCTATCTTTTGTTATCAAACGCGGATACCGTTAGCTGGGTTAATGTTAGCCTACCATCCAAACGGGGATACCGGCGGAAAACACCGAAGCTTTCCGCGCAGTTTGTGTCTCTAATGACCTAAACAGCTCATTAAAGTCACCACTGAGCAACTCCGCCGCTTCTAATTGCACTACAGCTTTTAATTGCGAGAGTTTTTTGAGGCCTAACGTTACGATGAGTCTCCAGCGTTAAGCCAAGAAGCCCCCCTCCTCTCCCTCCTCCACTGCCACTAAAAGAAAACACAAAAAAAAAACAACACAATTATAAAATAAAACTGTACCTTATTGTCACAAGCGTCCATGTCAGTCACCAACGCCAAGACAGAGCCGTCATTGACCACAACGCGGACGTCAGGATGTGGGCCTTTTTAATTTCTTCATTGCAAATACTGAATCACTTTTAAAGAAACGAGGCTTAAGATAGATACAGACACACACACACACACACAGAGAGAGAGACTCACACCCGATTCCCACCGACCGCTATCTGTTTCTAGATGCTGCTGCGTCAGTCTCTGCACACTAACCAGCTCGGAGCTCCACTGCTGTCAAGACGAGTGGAAATGGGAGTCACCTGGAACGGAAGCCGTCGAGGGCCAAAAAGCTTCAACTCTCCGGAGGGGGAAATGCGCTACGCTACGTCATGAGTACATATATATATATATTTTTTTTTTATTTTAAGTATGTAGTCAAAGATGGATTCAAAAAATAAAATAAATAAATAAAAAAAAGAGAGATTTCTTTGTTTCATTTATGACAGTTGAAAACATTTTATTCGACGTTTAGCCCGTGACACTGTTAAAACTTTGTGGCTAGTCAAAGGCAGCTGAATCCTTTTTTTTTTTTTTAGTGCTGAGAGAAATCTGTTTATTACCAACAGGCAACAGTATACATTAAAATACTGTGTACAAGTTTTTCATACACATTTGAACTTCTTTTTTTTTTTTTCTTTTTTTTTTAAACAATTGAAGCATTTTTGTGTGTTGCACATGGAAGGATCTGCCAATCGGGGGGGAGGGGACATGAAAAACAAAAATAAGTGCCAGTGGATTTCCTCTCATCACCACAAAACAACACACTTTGAACACGTTCTCGGGGGTTCCTTGAGTCTTCTTGAAATTGGTGGCATTCTCAAAAACCTGTGCTGTGTATCTTGTCTCAGAGGATATACTTGAAGAAGCACAGTAGCATACTTTATGGATGTATTAAAACATGCCATTTTTCCTTTGTCTCTTGATTTTACATGCCATCATGTGAGTTTGCTAACAATGGCTTGGTTGAGTGTGTTCAGCTGATTTGTCCATTTGTCTAAAGCTGTGTAGCGAGCTCCTCCTCTCTTCTGGTAGTCCAGTTCTAGTAGCTGGTTGACTTGGTCAATTCGGCCGTGGATTGTGCTGAGAGAAAAAAAAAACACAAAGAGTTAGAAAAGACGAGAGAAGCCAAATGTTACAATATAAAAATAACTCAAATCTGGAACATCACAAGTCAGCATGTAAAAGAGAGTCCACAATTGAGTCAAGCTTTGAAATGACAATTCAATTCCTAGAGTCCTCCTGCAGTTAAACTGTGTATCGGATCTGGCTGTTAATTGTACTGTAGCATAAAAAAAAATGTAAACAATTCTTTAGAGGAATTTCTTGAGGATGCAAAGTAATAAAAACCCCCAGATAATCTTGAAGATGCCACCATGCATCTAAGAAAAACAACCTACATTTGTGTTTTTCATCTATTGCTTCTCATTTTCAATGAGTACGATTAATTACAAAAAAATGCATTTAACATTTCAGTGCACGATGACAATAAAAACAATATATATATTATTAGTTTTAACATTTTACTACAATTAAACTACAGAGAGTAACACCAGGCTCAAGTCATTTACGTCAGAAAACCAGTGGAGCCGGGATGTGAAGCCAGGAATAGCAGCTCATTATTACATGACACTCTATTATGTAAAAGATAATGCCTGTCTGTCTGTCTTTAGGGCCAAAGGATGCAAACTATGAGGAACTACAACCATTTACAGGAAGGCGGGTATTTTTTCTTCTTCTTCAATTTCCCATTAGACACATGACGGACACACTTACTTATCCAAGATGCACTGCACCAGCAAACTCTCCACATCACACACATCGATGTTCAGCTCCTGAAAACCAAGGGAAACAGACAAGATCCTAACATCTGTACACAACTATGGCAGCTAGTGTGATTTAACATTAAAAACAATCCACAGTGCAGATCTCATTGTGTTAGGTGTGCTGCAAAAGTATGTAAACTAATAAGAGATGAAAAAGCATTAAAAGATACCATTTATGAGAAAATACCCTTACTACTAAACCTATTATGCAAACTAAATCATGAAATGCAAACTAAATTTCACTTATTTATATCATATGCTAATTAAGGCGTGTCAATAAGAGTATTATTTATCTTAATCCTCTGCTTCTACTTCTAACCTGCATTAGTTCTGTGCTTTTTCACCCCAATTATACCTGTTTCTTCATTGATATGACTGATTGCCTTTCAATACAGACCAATTACAATGGAAGTAACGATCCACACAAAGTCACACATACATGACTTTTTCTTTTTTTTTTTTAAATCATGGGAAACTTACCTTAGAAATGAAAGGGATGTGTATTCTCGTGTATGGTTTGATGAGTTTGATAAGTACTTGAGTTCTAATGTTCCTCAGGAGCTCTGCAACACAACGTCACACGATCAGCTACGCTTTAAAACAAGACAAACTTTTTTCCAACACATTTATCACGTATGTGGACTGAAGTCACGTTCGCCACTCACCCTCTATGTGCTCTCTGATGAAGGGGTCGTCCATTATGTTACTGTGATTTGTTTTCAAGATTTTCTCAAATTCAGTGATGTCATTGTTCTGGTAGGCGCTGGAAGGGAAAACAAGTCAGGGTTACTATATACATTGTGTCTCTGTGACCCACAGAAAAACTCATCCTGATAGCTGTCAAACACATTCCAAAATATTAGACTTTCTGTAAACACTATTCTTATTACAGTTTTGGGTGTGCGTTCTTAGTTTCTTGTTTGTACAAAATCAATTTTAAATATATGCATGGAACCTGAGCAATCTGAGACAGTGCCTGTTATTTATGCAAACATGAGGACTTGAGAGAGCAAACAAGGAAACAGAAGACAACTAAACGCTTGGGTAAGACAATAGTCATATTCAATACTTTATACAAATACTGTGAAATGAACACTAATGTTGACAGGGCACTGTTTGGGTAACTTGTATAAATGATATTAATACCATTAATTTGTTTAATGTATGATTTTGTACTAAGAGGAAGTGATGCAAGGCGTCCATTGAAAGACGTGAACATACTGCACACCCCAAACTGTTAGAGCTAGTATGGGGACATAGGGAAAGAGAAGCACAGCTGGAATACTGACCAAAGGCCAGACAGTAAAGGCATCTGGGTCCAAGAGATGATTGCAGGGTTGTTGTTTTTTTAATAGTTTGAGGTCATAAATAACATTTTCCTCACTAACTTTGTTGTGACTCGAAGACACAGGGCACAAAGCACAAGTGCACCATGCTCAGTCGGAGGAGGGCATGGTGGCCACTAAAAATAAAAGGTCGGATTCTGGAGAATTAATTAATAAAATGATATGTTAGGGACTTGTAGCAATCGTAGCCGATGACATCTCTCCTTTTACTCTTTAAAAAGTTGTTCTCAGAGATCCCACAATAATGTAATACATAATGATATAATTACAAGTCCACAGTTCAACCATTTTATCTAAGCCTTTAATTTGAAAAATAAAAAGAGAACCACAGAGTCACTACCCAAATGATATATTATAAACAACTGTCAATACCAGGGTGGTTGCACTATTTTGTCAGTTCTGTTCTTAGTAAAACTGTGGCTGACAAGACGGTTTAGATCTTAGAATAAAATTGGTGAGCAAAATGGTATAAGAGATGGGAATAATGGCCAACACTACAATAGACTTTTGTGCCATGGCAGCATAAACAGACTTTTGTTCTAAACAAAGGGGAGAGGAAATCCCAATAATACATTAATGCATGCTTACCTTACTAAGTTTGTCATTGCTAGAATCTCCGGGTCATTTTTGTATGGTTTGGCCTTTGGAAAAAAAAGACAAAAGAAATGTTATGCCTGGTACTTAAACATAAATAAATGTTAACTGATGAAGAACAAAAAAACTGAAATACTTTCAACAGATCATTCTGATTAGAAACAGTATAGTTGTGCTTTGTCAAAAATGAAACTGTAAATTGTACAAAAATATGCGGCAACCAGTAGTCTGTGTCTTGTTTTCTGATGTCTCATATTCTTGCATAGGGTATTGTATTGTAACATTTCAAACTGTAACAATTACTTTCATACCTCTTGAGAGTCAAAGGGATTTATTCCGGACTTCATCAGCATGTTGGCTAGGACCAGGTACTTCAGGCATGTTGTCCTTCTTGGGCTTCCAGACTCATCATAGTTTTTAAAGGCCTCAAAGAAGTCTGTGTGAGCTTTCTCAAACTCACCCTCTCTCAAATGCATCTTCCCACCACACTCTGGTCAGGAGAAAACAAGCACAGGTCATTTAGCAAACGGCTATGCAGATCATGGTGTGACAGTCCCACAAAAACTGTTCTATGAATGAAGTAGACCACCACACCATCATACCTCTGATAACTCCCATTATGAGTGGGTGAGGAATGGCAGATTTAATATGAAGTGACTGCTCATACAGGGCTTTCAATTTCTTGTTGTTTTTCTGTGCCGTGTACATCTGGATCTCCAGAGCATAGATCTCCAACAGCTGTGTGCCTTTCTTCAGGTCATCCTCTCCATCATCCGTCTGTGGTTCATGGAAAAATAGAACAATTGCTGTCAAATCAACCTATATATATATATATATATAGATAGATATATATATATATATAGATTGAGATCTTAGAGACTTAGTATTGCAAACACAGTAAAAAATGATTAGTAAAAATTGACATAATTACCTGACATGACTGGTGAAGTTGCCTTAGGATCTTTTGCAGTTTCCCATATTCTTCTCTCTCCAAGTACAGCTTCCCTAACTGCAAAAAGAGCATTTATGAGCACATGTTGTACAAAGAAATTATTATGCAGGACTACCTGGAACCAGTGAAGAACATTTGTATACCTTTGTGTTAGTTTTAAACCACAGTCTGTCATTTTTCGCATCTTTCAAAGCCTCCAATGTGGTTTCGTAGAACTCCTGTAGCAAGTCCATCTAGTATCACAAAAAAGACATTTCAGAGAGACACAGATTGAAGACACTTGGTGCTGCAAATTTGAAGGACGCAACGAATGTAACTTACAGCATTGTCTATCCATACCTGTTTGGAGGTAGAGATATAGTCCAGAATGGAGTTGATGGACTTCTCCGAATAGTTCCTGGTGACGGCACTTCTGATGTACGTGAGGAGCTGCTTGTACCTGTTCATCATCTCTGGAAAGTTGGTCTATAGGGTTGACACACAAACAAAAAAAAACAACTCAAAAATTCACGTATGAAGGGATAGATATAAATAAATGATGCGTGCAACCACACATA